GCCTGTTGGGAGAAAAATGAGGTGATAAGCAGAGTCTTCACTGAAGTACTGCAGCTTCGCCACTGTGCCACAAGCCTCAGTACAAGGGCTTCGCTCTGACACCTACAATGTCAGTGCTGGCAACCCTGGCCAAGACAGGCTAAAGATGGCACAATCATCTGGCAGCTTCTAGGCAGCTTCCCATCTTCCTATCTGCAGAAAATGCTGCCGAATGATTGCTCTTCCATCACCTACGGAAGTCCTACCACAAGAACAGTGGGTTTTTTTACGGCCCACGTACACACAGCAGTATCTGCCGGCTGAGCTCTTGAGGACTTTGATAATTTTAAGGCAGAGCTCTTGTGATCTGCAGAAAAAAATAAAGATGTTACTATAGGGAGGTCAGAGGGAAGAGTAGGAAGTTCTTAGTTCCACCAACTACTTAGCCAGTTTCCAGCAGGCATCAGATTACGGTTAAAGCACTGTGCTGGAGCCAGTTCAAATGCAAATGCGCCCATTCTTTCAAACAATGATAAACTCCCTCAGAGTTAATAATTTCCCCTCGGAAGATTCATCTCCCTTTTCAACCTAGTGGTATGTTTAGGAGAAAAGAAACACACACAGCAGCCAGGCTTTTTAAAATGCCTTTGTTGTAAAAAGAAGCCCAGCGTGCAAGAGAGAAAGCTGTCCGTTTTCCTTTGCTAATCCGGGGAACATTTGTCAAAAAGTCTTCAAGAGGCTCATCACTTCATCCCCACGACGCGCGGCACATTTAGGTTCCTAACTTAAACCGGAGCGGCGTGTGTGTGTGTGTGTGCCTGCGCGCACATGCCCGTGTATGTGTGTGTTTTTAAAAGTGGGAATAAAATGAAAGGCAGGGCTTAGCCGCACGAAACCATTTCAGCTTTTCCTTGAACACACGGCGAGATTTTTGCGTGGCTCTCATAAAAAGATGAATAAAAAAACCCGAGGTCTTTAAGAGAGAAGGCCCTTCTGCCTCACAGAATTACGCCGCTAAGGATCCAACGTTTGTGTCTGATGTATCTTTTCGAAAGCGCGCACACACACACACAAAAGCTTCCTACACAAGGAGAATTTCCCCCCACACAGAGAGACTTTTGTGTGCCTTTTACTTTCAAATTTCCCAGCTTTGGTGACTTATTTTGATCAGTTACTTTAGACTAACAAATGCCATTTTCTTCTCCCTTTTTCTACGCGATACTATTAGTGGCAGAACTCTACCCAATGCCCTTCGCTCCTCCTCCTAACAAGGAAAGGCCTTTAGCACAGGTCTCGAAGATTGCCGAATTCCGGTAACGACAGAAGGGCTCCGTTCTTGACATGCGGGGACTTTCTTTTAAGAAAACAAAATAGGCAATTGGAAGGCAGAGGCAAATAAAACAGGGCAGCAGACAGCCGCTCCGATTTTCCTCCTCATTCTCACTGCCGTGTGCGACTTTTTATGTGGTTACTTTCAGTCTCTCCGTATCACAATTATTCTATTTATTATGGGAATGTAGGTGATCACGCATTCCGGGGTATTCTTATCCAAGGTTCCAAAGGGCAAAGTTGGGTGTCGTTTTCTTCTTTTCCTTCTTTCAAATCTTGTAGGAAATATAAAATTAGAGGAAAAGCAACTATAGCTAAAGATCTCTGATACAGATACTGGGCCCTAAAAGCAGCTTTTGTTAATAACCTCCCTTCTCAATCCATCGACCAGTTCTTTCGCTTTATACAAGGAGTCTAGTATGACTAAAATACAGGCTTAGAAATCAATAATACCACCTCTAATAAATGCACTCCATTCAGATGCTAAAGCACGTTGGGGGCATGGGGGAGGGATGTTCATTTTGTGATAGCACTGACAGCTTTGGATCCGGTGACAAGAGTACTTTCCAAGTTGCCGAAAAGTACCCTGGCAAGGAACATAAAACTTTTACAGATTCAAGACGGTTTCTTAATATTCCTAAAAGAAAGATGTGCGGAAAGAGAGGAAGTCGCTCATTTCTTGGGCAGCGAGGGAGGAAATGTTCCGGTGCAGTTAGAAGCATTGGCGCTTACGGGCAGCCTATCCCTGTGCAATTANTTGGGGGGGGGGGGGAGAATATTATCTAGACAGAGACGCATGCCGAAAGGACACAAACTGCAGAACCAGCTGCCAAACCAACTTTCAGCCAAGAGGTAAAACTAGAGGGGCCCTGGAAGCAAGAGCACCGCATGTGCAGGACCACTTGGCCTCTCAAGAATTAGAACGGGTTTGAGGATAGGAGAGCTTCTGCACCCCTCTCGGCCGTCGGACTGCTTGCTGCCAACGCAGGCGCTTCCCAGGCAGACGGAACAAAGCTCTGTGCAAAACGGACCAGGATTTTCACTTCCCAAGGTGGTTCCTCACCCCGTCAACTCCCAAATAAATCAGGCAAAAGGTGCTGCCGATTTTAGGGAAGCGCTCGCCGAGTTTTACATAATATGAGACACCTCCCTTCAGCCTTACGTAGAGTCCAACCTGCGAACAAGCTCCTGGTTTAAAAGGAGCTTCCAAGATCATCTACCAAGTGGAAAACAGAAACGGAGGATATTACTCTTCAACACCCTCCTCCACCTCTTGTTTTGATTTCTGGAGCCTAAGAATAGTCAAGAAAGCCCCACTGTACAAATGCACAAGTGCATCAAATTCATCCGGATCAGCATGTTTTAGTCTACCTCTTCACAGAGTCTGGATGCCCCCTCTAAAAGTCCACCTCTGCCTCTTCACAGAGTCTGGATGCCCCCTCTAAACATTATCACCCTAGAGCTGGCTGGATAGCTCAGTTAGTTAAGTATGTGGTTGCAGAGCCAGTGGTCGGGAGTTCCAATGTCCCACCGGGCTTCCTGGGAGAAGAGACAAACGGTGCAGGCTTGGGCAAGCTGCACAGCAGTCCCAGGGCAAACCCGAAAGAAGAGAATGGTAAACCACTTCTGAGTACTCTCTTCCTAGAAAACCTTGAAAATGGTCACACCATAAGTCAGAATTGACTTAACGGCGCATGATGATGATGATGATGATGATGATGATGATGATGATGATGATGATGATGAGAGATGCCCGAACAGACATGAAAATAAAAGTTTCTACCCGACACGACAAGGGTGCAGTTCTTCCAAGTGTTAGGCTAGCACTCTGCAGATTTGGGTTCAGAACTCCACTCGGTCAAAAATAATAATAATAATGGCATTAACATCAGGCTGGTTCTTTCTCTCAGCCTGAGAACTGCATACAGCACATGGAGTTCACTGCAGAAAAAGTGAGATCTAAACATAACAAATATTTATGTTAACTCACTTACCAACTAACTACCTAATAGAAATGTAATAAGGTAAGGGTAAAGGTTCCCCTTGACATTTAGTCCAGTCGTGTCCGACTCTAGGGTGCGGTGCTTGTCCCTGTTTCCAAGACATAGAGCCAGCGTTTGTCCAAAGACTGTTTCCGTGGTCATGTGGCCGGCGCGACTAGACACAGAATGCTGTGACCTTCCCTGCCTATTTATCAACTCACATTCTTACATGCTTTCAAACTGCAAGGCTGGCAGGAGCTGGGACAAGTGACAGGAGCTCACTCCGCCGCGTGGATTCAATCTTACGACTGCAGGTCTTTGACCTTGCAGCACAGAGGCTTCTGCGGTTTAACCCGCAGCGCCACCACATCCTGAAATATAATAAACTGGCTAATGTTTAGGGTTCTGTTCTCAGCCATTTGTTAGTGTTTTAGATTAGTTATTAAGCAATCTCTAAAATGATTTCAAACAAAAGGATCCATGTAATAAACTAGCTAATGTTTAGGGTTCTGTTCTCATCCATTTGTTACTGTTTTAGATTAAGCAGTCTCTAAAATGATTTCAAACAAAAGGATCCAAAGAGGATTACTTACACGTTTACTTGCTGATACAGTACTGGTGTGAATACAAGGCTTAGTACTGTATGCATTAACTAAATAAACGGTTACAAACATGTTTCTTCCCTTAGGCTTTACAAATATGTCTATAACAGACCGTCTGATGTTTTAATCTCTGTTTCACTGTTGTTTTTAAATGGGTGATAAAAGGCAGGATGTATATAACTGCATTTAACAAAACCCTCAGCCACTAATGTGACCCTTACATTTTACAGCAAAAAGCATGGGGAGCAGAACAGTCTTAGGCCTCTGCTTTCAACAACGATAAGGGGACTCGGGCATGGTTGGATTCCAACTCTCATCCTGTTTACAAGCACCCTGGTAATTGAGGACAAAAAAGTGGCCAATTTAAAGCAGATTAAGGTGAATTATAAACATTTTATGTGTTACTTACATGTATACGTCTCTTTTCTCCAGGGTGCTCAAGTTGATATCCATGACTCTTTTCTAACAGCAACCCTTCAAGGTAGGCCAAAGACACAAATAGGACCAGAGAGCTCAGCTAATCCCCAAGCCAATATCTCAACCTCTCCCTATTAGCTGAGCTCACTAGTTCTCTCTATGTCTCAGAGTGGCCAACCTCAAAGGGTTGCTGTTAAGAAATCAAGTCAGGTCAATGACTCAGAATTTTGACCCAACTATTGTGATAACCTCTTATGTGTCTGGTTTACACTTTTTAACAAAGGTATGTCAGTCCTATACAAGGCCACTTTGCACAAGAGGCATTTCTCTCTACTGGTAACAAATACTATGGTCCATATACCTCCCAGTTATTCCCCGATGCACAGAGTTTCAAGTCCAGCAATGAATTAGTACAGATATTTTTCTCTATTTCCATCAAGGCACCCAATCCGGTGTTGTGGACTAAAACTCCCATCATCCACCACCAGCAGAGAGGGTGATGGGGGCTGTCACCAAACCCATCAGAGCTCTATAAATTGTTAAGATTTTTCAAAAGTTAGACTCTCAGCTTGAACATATGGTCAGTGCTCCCTTCGGGGGATTTCCTGCTAATCTGTCCCTCTTGCAAAAAAAAAAAATGCCCACACAAATATTCCGGCTAAAATGTGGAAACAGAATGCTGATACTCTACCTGCACCTGGTACCGCTGGGTAAGTCACTTCGACGTAGACTTCAAATGTTGCCTCTGGATTCTGCCTGCAAGACAGAGCAATCCAATATTAAATATATGCAAAACTTTCCAGAATGCTTTGATGAGTAATCCAAAGGGGTTCTCTACCCTCACCGAAGCGTACAGATTAAAATAGAGCCTATAACATTTTTTTTTATACCAGATTCATCTCAGACTACCAACACAAGACTCACATGCAGCACACAGACAACGTTGTCCCTGACAGAAGTCCATCTGATAGATTGGTTTCTAAACCACCATGATTCAAGAAAGTCACTCTTGATAGAGCTGACATCAGCCTTGACCTGTATCTTCTCCTCTAGATCTGCTCCTCAAGAAAGCTCAGCCCATCCAGTGTCGTCCCCGAGGATGGAAAGCTTTCTCTGTCTTCCCCTACAAAGATGAGGAACTATCTAAAAATATGTAACAGCTTAATCACTGTGGATAAAAAGGAATTAGAATAGTAAGCAGGATCAAGGGAAAAAAAATAACATGGCTGTATTTATATGCCTATATATGATGGTGGAAAGAGGCATTTATGATTGCTTACAAACAGACGAATAACATCCAGAATCATACTGAGCAGGAAAAAAACTGCAAGCTGCAGGGAAACAGAAGCGCAAAGACCATCAACCGCGGCTGCTTCCCTTTTCCTATAAGCAGAGCCGATGATTAATTATTGCAACACATTATTTAACAGTAGCTATAATTAGAGCAAGGCAGCCTTTCAACACCTCCTGGAGTAGTTTTAAAAATGGGCCCACAGTTTGCTAGTCCTGTTTTCATTTTTAGCTAAATGTGTGGTTTAATATTCCAAACGTGTTGCCCAAAATGGCTGGGGAGCACAATTGATTACGCAGAATAAAGCCAGACAAGGGGGCTGCCGGACCCTTCAGATTCCACCGGTGTTCAGAGTTTCCAGCAGTAGTCTGCAACAGAAGTCGATCATCTGCTAGACATTTCCCATAAATAAAATTCTTAACCCATGCAATACCTTCATTAGCAATAAGTCCACAAAAGTGTGCAGACTGCTGGATTCTCCAGCATCCCCTTGCCCAACAGTAGGGCCGTTGAACGGTAGTTCACCACTTGCTAGCTTTGCTATGACCCACCCTCACAGTAAAAAACTAAGGGTGTCTGTTTTAAGGAACTGGACATTTTCCAGTAGATGTAAGAGACTCCTGAGACATTCACTTACCAGCGGAAAGGGATTTCCCATTGTGGTACCACATCTCGAATGCCCTCTGCAAAAAAAAAATAGTCTACTTTTCTGCCAAGAATGGTCTAATTTGGAACCAAGTAAAGATTTCTTCATATTTGACCAGGCAGTTCAGGATGCTGACCAGTTTAATGGTTTTATTTTGGATTCTGTTGGGTTTTACTTTCTCATTACGGCATGCATGGTTTGCAACTTTATTGTTCAAGGTTCACACCTTTTGTTTCCCATGTGGGGTACCACCCTGGAAGCCTTATACCATAAAACACACATAAATTGACTAAACACACGCATAACCTACTATAACGGTATCTGTTACCAAGCAGATTTAGACGGCAGTGGATTAAAAATGGTTAACCTGAGCTACAATCCTAAAATTTACCTAACAGGTTTGGGCAGGTTGCTTTATTTTCAAATGGCAATTCTCCAAGATAGCAGAAGCTTATATTATGTTCAAAGGAAAAGGTTGACTGCACAGAATAACAGAAGCATGTAATTTTGTATTTCTAAGCAGCCGAAGACATTTCAGGTGGACGGGTACCATGTCACTCTCGGTAATAAGGAGATGAACTCTCATCTTTGTATTTTCGTCTACGTTCGAAACCTCCTTGGCAAAAAAATAAACCCCTCAATCATCTGTTTATAAGCCTAGAGAGCCACAAGGATGAGAAACCAATAGTAGCCGAGTTGACTGAAAAACACATTCTGAAAGCCATCCTGGGATCATACCCATCCCAAGGCAATGAAAACGGGACAAAAAAAATGAACAGTTTTTAACACGGATCATCTCATCCAGCAAAATGTTACATAAGCAAGCAAGTGGGAAGGAAAAACACAGGGAAGCAAACACTTGATGTTAAACCCTTCTAGTCTTTGTGGTGTTTGGAAACATAGCAGCCCAACAAGGTGATGCAGTGATGATGGATTTCACCGCCTCAAAGACTTGCTGGCCAGTTAGAAAAGCTTGGTCCTCCATCTTAAGAAGAAAAACCTCTGTGATGAGACTTAGGATGCAGCCGGCCGGTCAAATACTCTCGCACGCTATTTATTATAAACATTGGGTCATTTGCACGTTGGCTTCCTTCAAGTTTTTTAATAGGACGTCCATCCATACTGCCTCAAGCCAGTCGCCGAGTATGAAACTCCACAGAGCTGGTTCTGCTACAGACTGGGCTTAAATCATATTGCAAACATCACCTCAATACATTCAAGGTGGCGCTACGCGTGGCGCTCCGGTCCCCCTCCCGTCCCCGACAAGCCTCCAGTTGTTTTTCTAAGTGCTAAAATAAAAAGGGGCTTTTCAAAAAATGAGAACACCAGCAACAAAGAGCATATTCTTATCCCCAACAAGCTCACACCTCGGCAGAGAATTTGTTAAGTCCTGCTGAAACATCTTGTAATGGGGGGCAGGGGTGGGGAGTGAACAAAGATCCCAAAGTTTAACACAAGCGTTTACACACACACACACACACAGAGAGAGAGAGAGAGAGAGAGAGAGAGAGAGAGAGAGAGAGAGCAATTACTGCTGCTGCCTTCTCTTGGTGTAACTAGGAGGACAATTCTTAGCTCAGTGAACCAAAGCTGTCCAACTCCATCCTTGGCACGTCTATCCTTGCCAAGGCAACACCCAGGAGGGTCACAGGTCTGAAAAGATTCCTCCTGATCATTCAAGATATACCGTTTTTCGCTCCATAAGACGCACCTTTCCATAAGACGCACCAATTTTTTAGGAGAAGAAAACAGGAAAATATAATCTGTTTTCTTCACTCCATAAGACGCAAAGACTTTCCACCCCCCTGTTTTGTGGGGGGAAAGTGCGTCTTATGGTGCGAAAAATACGGGTAATTCAAAATTCCAAACTGGGTTTATTGCATTTTTTCTGAAAATAAACATACTTTTTTTTAATAATTCGAAACAAGACTTGAAGTGACTTCAGTTTTCTCGACACCTGGCCTTTCTTTCCAGCACATACATGTTCTAGAGTAGGGGTGGGGGGGACATACATTCAGTGCCACCCCACAGTGTGATCACAACTCCGAAGGTCCTACTGAAGATTTCATGTCTTAAAGATTTCATGTTTCTAGCTCTCATGACAGCAAAGTGGAAGGAGGAGGGGGGGAAAAGATCCCTGTTGCATATATTATGTCTTAAGTCCATATAACCAGCATGTTTCACATGACTGTTCATAAGAAAGCCTGCTCTACGTAAGTATTTCATGTGGCTGATCCATTTCTAACACTTTTTTTAAAAAAACAACATAAAAGACTTGCTCCCAAAAGGTTTGGCTAATAGTTTCAAGCTTTGAAAAGCTTCTCTGGTATTTTGACGTACCTTCGGTTCACTGACCCAAACAAGCTTCTACGCCGTTGTGCTTTTTTCTCAGAACTCTTGAAACGTTCGCTGTTTTTTAAAAAAGCAAACTCTCATACTCTCCCACCCAGCATGACTAGTGGCACCGAAGTCTTTGTAAAAATGACATTTTTTTGCCCCGCATGACAATAACCCACAGCAAAGTACCCGCACAAGTACCGGACATCTCTGTGTGACAGAGGCATCGCTGCGTGAAAGACCGCCGCTGCCACCCCCAAGCAAAGAAGCTGAAGTCAGTGCTGAGAGAGAGAGAGAGAGCGTTCCAGCGCTATGGCAGCCCACACAAAGAAGAAGCCAGCTAGGATCATCATTAGGATAATGCATTCCTGTATCTTTGAAAGCCAAATCTCCTTGCTAAGCAAAGTCACATGCAAACGAAAGATGAAATTCTACCCACTGAAAGTTGGAGAAAGAGCTGGAAGGCACACCTCTGCCTTCCTCCTGAAACATTAAAGGCAAATATATACAGCGGAGCATATTTTAAATAGCAGAGTGGGGTCCTGTTTTTTTGCGTTTAACTTTCCTGAAAGGGAAATGTGGAAGAAGCATTTAACATTTCACACTCCTGGCAGAAAAATGGAAGCCTGTTCTGCAATGAGGTAGGCATACCTGCATCATTGCAATCGTAATCTTAGAAGCCACTTCAGCTTCCCTGGGATCCCCGCAGAGATCACTGGGCTGTTTACAAAACAAGGCCCTCTTGCTCAAAAGAAAACTGGAGCAGGTGGGTGCAGAGAATATATTATGATTCATTTTATTGATATGCTGCATTTCTCCCAGCGAGGGACCCAGATCAACAATATACCGACCAGCCAGTACAGTGGGGTCTCTACTTAAGATATTCATTTTATTGATATGCCGCATTTCTCCCAGCGAGGGACCCAGATCAGCAATATACCGACCAGCCAGTACAGTACAGTATCTGCATCACGACTTTGTATCCCATCAGTCTAGAAAACATGACCAAAACTGCAGGGAACTGTAGTCCAGCAGGATCTGTATCCTTGACCTAGATACACTGTAGCTTTCAATGCCCCCCCCCCAAAAAAATTCTATGGTTTCTGGTGCAGGAAAACAGGTGGTATTCCAAGCTTGGGGGAGCGCCTCATGGCAAGTAGGTTGGGCATCTTGAAGTAGCAGGATACTGCTTGGCTCATTATTCCAAGATTAACTCTCTAAGCAGGCAGGTGTAGTTATAAACATAGAGAGGGCTTTAAAAGCGTTTGAAAGTTAAATCCATACTGCTACTAACTTCTGCATCCCACAGAATCTGCCAACTGTTTCATTCACCCAGCATTAATTTGGGAGCCCCATGTAGCCTTCCCCCAGTTCCTCTCTTTCACTTTTGCTTTCAGTTTGCAAATAAGGAGAACGCCCCACTGTTTATTTATTTCCTTTTTGTTTTTTTACATTCTATTTAAGCACACAAGGTTTAAGAGA